CTGGGTTTATGAATGAAAGAGAAAATTAGACAGACGGATTTCTAGGTTTATTTGATGGCAAAAGTTTTTACAATTGGCATTAGACACTGGAACTGAACCTTTTTTTGGCAACCAGTGTTATCATTTGCAAGCCAAGAAACATGTTTATATTATTTATTTCTTTATTTAGTTGTCTTTTTTTTTTTTTTTTTTGCTACTGACAAAGGAAGGTTGTACTAGACTTCATTGGTACTTTTTCTCTAGCTGTTCATTTGGTAGCTACCCTGGCCTAACCACAGCTTTCTAAGACCTTTATAAAAGTTTAAATAGTTTTTCCTTTTATATTTTCAGAGGCAAAGTCAAACATTTTCTTACTTTGAGAGTGATCATCTATATTCAGGTAGCAGTGAAACCCACTAACTCAAACTAATTTTTGTGAAATTCTGAGATCAGAAAATAAAAACTTGCTACATTAAGCAATAAATGAAATATCTTCAAGGTGTTACCACTTAAAAGCATTTTGGTGATGATACAGGACTCCCACAAAAAAAATTCTGCCAGCTTGCAATACTCTCGAAATCAGATTATATGAAAGCAATCACACACTGAAGTCATTTTTTTAAAACCAAGCCAACCATGCTAATAAGAAGAGATAAAGTTTGATTTCACTGAGAATTCAAACTTCAATTTATGTGGGTTTCTATGCCCAAACAGAATTGATATCGTGTGATAGTAATATAAGTAGCACAGAATATAAATTATATCATTTTGCTCATATCATGTATATTTAGGACAATAATAACAACAACAAAAAGTTGCTGGGAGTATGCAGTTCTGATATTTCTATGCTTCACAAATGTACCAATTCATTTTAATACACATGCTAAGATCAAATCTATTTATAGTCCTTACCAACTCTCTGTTGAGCTTCATTTTTATTTTTTCAGCTCACGGTCTAGTGCCATAAAAAGTCTAGCAATTTCTTGAATGCAATGTATCTACATACAATCTTTTCACCTTTATTTTTATAATATATTCTCAAACAAGTCCAACTTTTCCACTACCCCACATTTATCAATAGAATATCTATTTTCCAAATCCTGGAGAGGAGGTTTGGGGCAGGTAGAAGAGGGTAAGGCGGGGATAAATAGTGATGGAATGAGATTTGACTTGGGGTGGTGAACACACAATACAATACTTGTATACAGATGATGTATTATATAATTGTACACCTGAAACCTTTATAATTTTATTAACCAAGGACACCCCAATAAATTCAATAAATTTTTTAAAAGTACATCATTCGTATTGTTTTATTCCTTTCCATTCCTGTTCAACAAAGAGACACATATCTATTTAAGTGCTGCAGACTACAAAGCCTGTGCATCAAAAGAGCATGGCACCCAGTACGATGCTGATCACAATATAATCTATACTAAATATGGTTTGAACTGAAATAAGTTGTTTTGTGTGTTTTTTCCACCTTATCAGATTTTATAAGGAAAAAAAAAACAAGAAGAAAACCTCTGTGCCCTTTTACAGTTTTTAAAAAAGTTCTTTTTAAAGATTTTATTTATTTACTTTTAGAGAGTGGGGAAAGGGGAGAAAGAGAGGGAGAGAAACATCAATGTGTGGTTGTCTCTTGCACACCCCATAGTGGGGGCCTGGCCGACAACCCAGGCATGTGCCCTGACTGGGAATCGAACTGGCAACCCTTTGGCCTGCAGCCCATACTCAATCCACTGAGCTACACCAGCCAGGGCTACAGTTGTTTTTATATATATATTACAACTTTTGTAATATATATATTACTAAAGTTGGATGGTCACAGAGCATATTAAACTAAAATTCTATTTCCAATATTTTGATTTATTATTTTTATATTGAAGAAGACACATTTTTGAAATATTATAATTCATACAGCTCTGAAATGCACGGTCACAGTGCTTCTGCCTCTCCTCCTCCTTGTTCTCTTTTAGTTTTTCATGTAAGAGAAGGAGGATCTTTGGCTCAACCATGCTTCCTGTGGTTCTGTCCCTGCTTAACATTATATTCCAAGCCCTGCCCCCTGCTTTATTTTAATATTTTATTATAGATGGCATGGTAACTGTAACCAAGTAGCCCCTATTCTGTATCTGTTTTTATTCAGGTTATTGTTCAAGTTCTGCACTAGATAATTTTTGAGAAGGTCACCTCTATATTCGGAGTGGTCTCCGGAGATCCGGGTTTAAGTTTTGGAAGCTGATGTAAAACTATAGTAAGTGGGTGATTAGCTTGATTGGACCCAGGCAAAGCTGCAAAGTATGTGACATTTTGTAACTTCCCTTCCTTTCCATTTGTGATCAAATACTAGGTAAAACAACAAATAATGACATGTGTGTAATGACGATGTGTCTGATTACATTACAAAACTATACACGTGTGTTCATCCTATATTTTTTCTCACGAGGCATAGTTATCTGTGAGAAACTTTCAAAAGTTAGGAAAAGAGTTGTTCTTTTGTAGAATTGTGTGGCAAAGCATTTCAAGGGACAGGCAACTAATGGCCTCTCCTTAGGCCCCACTGCTGCCTTCCTTTCCCATTTTCTATGTTCTTGGCTCTCTTTCTGCAAGACTCCTTCAAAAAACTGCCCCAAAGGGTCATGGCATTGGTTACGTTTGTTTGTAATCATCAATTCTCCTAATGATGGATCATAAGATCCACTGATGTCGAGAACACGCTGAATTCAGTTACAAACGATGTAGCAAACCAGTTCTTTAGAATTGGAGAAATTCAGGGGCATATATTACATTCGGGATAGGTATTGTAAGTTACTTACTGTAATATCATCTCTGTTTAGATTTAGTTTTAAAAAATATCACTTAGTTTCTTCCAGACCCCCCCCCCCCACTTGTTTTACATCCTAACAGGCTGGCTCGTCCTCGTAGCCAGACCCCTGGGACCAATGACGCCTTTGGTTAGTTCATCTTCACATCTACCTCTCAGCCTAACGCCAGTTCCCCACTTCCTTAGTCTCTGAGAAAGCGGAGCTCGATATTTCTGCGTCTAAGGCCAATTGTTATTTTATTCTCAAAGGTGCTCTCTCCTAAGGCTGCCTAGGTCCTGTCTTTCAACTTTAGTCAGATGAGCCCGCCTGTGCCGAAGACCGAAATTCTGAAAGGACTTTACGTATTTAAGGAATGGGGAGAATTTCAGTGCTGCGGGAAAGGCACGTTGTGTGGTGGAAATAGACACAGCAGCTGAAAAAACCAGTCTGGAGGTGACCTCTGAAGAACTTTGTAGCCAAACACTCAGACACTATGTTACAAATCCATCTAGACCCACAAAGCGACAGCGTTCACGTGACAGACAGAAAGCTTGTTGCTAATGCCGAGCAAGGGCACCAGTGCCACCTCCCTTGGCTGCGGCCAGTCAGTCCGTCCGGGCTGGTCGCACACCGAGAACACATTGCACTCGGATGGAATGTAGAACTGGGGAGAATCTGAGATAAAAAAGCGATGGGGATTAGGATCTGCAGAGGCAGCCCTTTGAGAAGTCGCCAACGGGTCATCTGAACCACGGCCACTTTCATTATGTCCAGTGTCCCACAAAAGCAAGCACACGTTTCTCCGGAGGCATTTATAGCTGAAGTCATGGCACATGCCCGGAGCTGGAATCTCACTGTGTCTTAGGGTATTTGTAAGACAGGAGGCTGGTCAGCCTCGTGTCGCCTGAAGTAGCACGTCCGCTGCAGCTTGCCCTGTGTGCCCCCTTGAGTTCTGACATTAGGGTTCCTGCTGTACAGTATCGTAGTTCTTACTCATTTATTTAAAACGAACCGACTTCGAAACAACCAACCATCCAGGGGACTGAGGTTTTTGATTACTGAGCACTAATGACATGTTTCTTAACAAACCATGGATATTACAATGATAAATATTTTGATGCTTTATGACTATGGAACTGACAGAAATCAGAATGAACTGAAATTATTAATAAATTATTTTAGGACGTTGTTGAAGGAAAAGAAACATGACACTCAAAATTTATTCGGTGTGGGTCAGAACTATGTTATTATTTATGTTTACAAGAAATAGAATAGTTGAAACAGGTCATTTTATCTTTAAGTATTTTTATCCGCAATACCAGAGAAAGAAGCCCCACAGCAGATAGGAAAACTGTTTTCCTAGAGTCTTAAAGGGAAGATTAATGATCTTCTGGATAATAATTTTCACACACTCTCTCTTGAAATATTGTTTCAGGAAAGAATGTTAAGGACCAGTGCCTTCTTCCCCCGAACCACACTTTGTTGGTAAAGTGGAAATCTGATTTTAAGGGCCACCGAGACGATTAACAGCATTTTTAAAGGTTTTTCCAGACACAGAGAGACTTGGTCTGGTGCTCATGCAACTGCAACATGTTACTGGACAGGGCGCTGGTAGCGACTGTGGGGAAGCCGCTTCTGAGGAAAATACAGAATTTCAGAATTTTTTTCACTTTTATCTTAATTTAATTTAAAAGTTTTTTCAATTACAGTTGACATTCTTGTGTTTTATATTAGCTTCAGGTGTACGGCACAGCGGTTACGCATTTACATAATTTATGAAGCGATATAACCAATTTCAGAATTAAAAAAATAAAGCCGTTTTCCTTCACAAACTAGAAAAATAATAGAGATTCTGACTTTTCTTCTTAAATCTGACAGAGGAAAAGAAAATATTTAGACCAGCCTTAGTCCTGGCATTAGCAGAAGGCGCTAAAAATAAACATTGTAACGGTCGGCTGCCGGGGGCTCGGTGCTCACCGGGATGGGGTGGGTGGGGGCAAAGGGGGCGTGGTCTGCGTGGAGGCGGGGCTAAAGCGGGCGTAGAGGGGGCGTGGTTCCGGGCTGACTATATAGTTGAGGCAGAGGCCGTACCTCGAGAGGCGCGTCAGAGCCGTGGGCGGGGTAACCCTGGGTTGGGGAGGACTTTCTTTGCTCCCGCTTAAAGACTTCTAGAACTTGGCGAAAACCAAGGACAAATACCCTCAGTTCTCAGTAATGTCGCTCAAGCGCCTCACGCCAGAGGTTGCGGAGCTCACGGATCCCGCCTCACCTTCCCCGCCCCCTGAAGATCCCGAATCCCAGTCCCCGTGTCCTAAGCGGCTCCGCCTCGAGGAGCCTGGCCGCGTCTCTGAGGCGGGGTGGCGACTGCCTTCGGTGCCTCGCTTGTCTGAGGTGGAAAAAGAGTGGGACCTGCCGCCCAGGCCCTGCAAGGCGCTGCTTCTTGCAGCTGACGTGATTTTCGGTAACTCCACAGACGTGTGTGTGGAGGAATCAGCCAGTGGGAAGCAGATAAGCAATCTGGGGGATTGCGAAGAAAGCAAATGGGAGATGAAAAGTGGTTTGCAGCCTCCCGCCTCACAAAAACTTGATTCCGGTTTGAGGGCTTCCGGAAGGTCGTCTGAACCGGGGCTGTGTGACCAGGAGGCTTTCGGTGTGCCCCACAGTGACGGACCCCGAACTGCGGTTCGTCAGCTTCTGCCCACCGTCTCCATGGACGACGTGCAAGGAGTTAAAAACAAGCGCGGGAAACAATGTATAGTTCAAGGGGCAGACAATAGTCAGAAAGACGATAGTTACAGAAAACAGACGGGAAATCTATTGTTGCACGTTAGCTTTTACAAGGAAACTGAACCAACATTTCATGAAATTAAGCACAGCTATAAAGCCGACGGTGTTACGCCATCAAATAAAAAAGAAAATAACGTTTCAGCATCTAGGCTAAAAATATCAAAATCTCACAACCAGCCCAGCATGAAAATTGCCAAACGCAGCTCTTTTCGAGATAGCAGCACCATACGTATCCCTGAGTTTCCAACCGATGTAAAGAGCAAAATGTCCCCTGTCTATTTAAAGAAATTAGCAAAGAATATGAATGACAAATATGAGACATATGTTGGGGATTTCACAAACATTTACTGCTCCCAAAATAGAGTGAATGTTAAGAAGCAAAACGTACTGGGTGACAAAAAAATTGCGGATGCAGAAAATATTATTTCTGAGGGTTATGAAAGTAACCACCAGTCAGTCAGCAACCAAAATATTTGTGTGAGGGCAAAAAACTTGACCAGTGTACTGTACTATAAGCACAGTAGTATCACGTCTGATGTAAGGGGCCCTGATAAAAGTTTTACTGTAAAACTACAAACTGCAAATTGGGAGGAAGCAGAAACATGTCCGGACAGTTACCTGCCTACCAGATTAGGAAAATCGCAAAGCTGGGACTATCGTATAGGACATATTTTGAGAAAAAATAGGAAAAATAGTCATATTATGCATAATTACAAAACTAAATGTGAAAACATTAAAAGAACTGGAGACAAATTGAAGTTGCTACAATTATTAGAAATAGGTGTTTCAGGCAAAGAAGGTTATTATAATGCAAAAGCTGTGACTACACATGAAGAACAACCAAAGCGTCTCATCATAGGAACACTGGGTAGTCAAAAAGCTTTAATAAAACTTTTTTGGTTAAATGGTAAAGGAGAAAACAATAATGTACTACAGTGGCAATACTATGCTACACAAAGAGACTGTTATTTAAGCAATGTTTTTGAGAATTTCATTACAGAAAGTTTTTATTTCCATGAAAGTACTTCAGAAAACGAAGAAGATAATAGTATTTTAGCTTGGCATAAAATTTTGAAGTGCCTAAAGCAAACTGATGGTGTTCAAAATCTAATAATTAGGAATATAAATGTCAATAGAAAGAATAATATTTTATACACATATTTACAAACCAGTTTTTCAAAATCTCTACATATCATATTGAAAAACAACATAGCTTCTCTGCTCAATAACTTTGACTCTTTAACTGGAACTGAAAATGATTCTAAATTAGAAGAGAGATGCATATTCAATTGGATAATGTCTTTGAATTATCCAAAAAATATAGTGGAAAATCATATTATATACCTAGCAAGGAGTTTAACTTTTTTAAAACCATTAGGAAATAATATGAAACCTATGTTAGAGAAAATAAAGCTATTTAAAACTGAACAACTTTTCAAAGTGTCCAAGAAAAATCCCATCAATTTCTTTAGTGTGATAGCCCAAAATTTTGTTTTAATGGACTTTGATGACATGGATGCAATTTTTTTGACAAAAGAAATTAGTTACAAGAGTAAGACTTGTCCTGAACAAGTTATGAATGTGAAAACTTGGGCTCACTGTAGTACCAATACTGTGAAAACACATGTTAAGTCTCTTCCTCACTTCATACAGAACAACCATGAACATATTAATGAAAAAATTTACGAGCTAAATATGTACAATCAAGGTTTAGATACTAAAAGAAAACAAGAGCATAATAAGATCAGTAGTTTTAATTTTAAGTGCATATTTGAAGATTTCTTCAATGTTAGGCCACAAGCCATACTGACAAGCCACTACACAAAACATTCTGAACAAACCAATTCCACGATTATAACTCACGTGCGAAATTTTTGGAGCTTGCTAAGAAGTGAAATTGAGGCAAAAGAACATGACTTAATTTTGAAGGAGGAAGAAAAAGTCACAACTTGTTGTCAAGTTCATAAAAATATTAAGATTGAAAAAAAAGAGAAAAATATTTTTTATTCAATGGATAACATATTTTCTGTGCAACCAGTTTTCGCAATAAATAAGAAAGTGAATGTGGAAGAAGCTAAATATGTTAATCAAAATGATCTAGCTGACAGAAATGAATGTAAGAATGTTTTGCAAGAAAGGGAGTTAGCTAATTCAAATCATTCTCGTCCAAGGAATGTCTCTGAGACAGGATGTGTTAAACACCAATTTGAAACTGATCTGAGTGTAAGGAACAATGAATGTTTTCAGGACTTAACTGACAAGTGTTTATCAACAACAGAAACTATGACTTTAGGCAAAGACTTTGAGATGAAGAGTCAATTTGATTTAGTACTTGAAGAACTTCGTATGTTCCATGAAATCAGTAAAGAACATGAAATTCTAAGCACCGCAGAAACAAATAATGCAAAAGAAAATTATTTTAGAGAAAATACTGATGTCAACATCTTCGAAGAGGTAAAAACGGAAATAAAAAAGGATTTGGAAATGAGTACAGTCAACAAAATATGTGCATCTTCTTTGATCTGTGATACTACAGCAAGTCGTAACATGGGTAAAAGACACCAATGTTTATTTAAATGGGAAACAGTACCCAGAAACAGAACACAGGAAGTTCCTAATAAATATTGCTGTGTAAGAACATCAGAGGAAGAATCACTGTATTCCACTTCTGAGAAAGGTATGAAATTAGTTTTAAAATGTTGCTTTTCTTTTCTATGTAGACCAAATATATAATTTTGGCAAAAAAGGAGATAAAGTATATCTAGACAATGTTTACAAATGTACAATATTTTTTATAAACAACTGTCCAAACATTAAATAATATAATGAAGTTGAAGAAAACAAGTGATAAAAATTCTAAAAGGAGCTTTGAAGCATCCTGCTTCATTTACCTAAATATTAGGAGCCAACGGGAAGAATATTTTTGAAAAAGTAATTTCTTATTAACATTTTATATAAAAGTTACTTTTTGCTATAACATATTGATCTTTATTTTCAGATTATGAAGAACCTTCAACTAAAAGACCTGCTGTTTTCTCTGATGAATTTAAGGAAGAAAAACTTAATTATTTCAGGAAAGGAGGTAATATTTTTGGTTATTTTTTAAAATACCTTTCAAGATGATTCTTTTATTCTTGTATTCTTAGCGTGAGGAAAATATACTTACATTGTTAAATACAAAGATTTGTACTTTTATAAACATTAATAACTTACTGAAGGAAATTCTAATAGTTAAAAACTGGCTAAAAATTGAAATGCTATTTCAGAATATTAGATTTAGAATATTATTGGGAAATGGGCTCTTTAAAAGTGTTTAAATACTTGCAGGGATGCACTGCAGTAACTGTGTAATAAGGTAGGTGTTACACGTCTAGTATACACATCTAATATACATAACATTCATTAGCAAAACCAAAAAAGGTGTTTATTTAAGTTGGATTTCTATTGATGACATGTTACTCCCAGTTGTATAATTATCATCAGTGTTCTCTATCTTTAACTACTATGAGGCTCTTTATATGGATATTTTATTTAGTAATTAAAAATTTAGTATCACTTAGATATATTAACAAGATTTATGACTATGGAATTTAAAATTTTAATTACTATTATACAAATAAAAGTAATAAAAGTTAAACAACTTTATTATTTGCCTAAGAGGTCTACAATATCAGAATAAAACACAGCAAGTGTAGCATCTACTCTAACTTATAATAGTGCCAATGAGATGAGACAGGTAGGATTAACATTAGGGAATTGTTTTCTAAATGACTAAATTTTCATTTGGCTAGAAACTGCTGCTATTACACACAAGACCAGATCTAAAAACAGTAATAATGTAGGTGAACTATATTTACCATAACATCTTCACCCATTCATCATTTCTTAAAATATTTTCCTGGCTCCTCATCAGTAGAATGCTGTTCCTGGTACCTTTAGCCAGTCACTTCAGAAATGCACTTCAGAAATGCATCTTTTCCTCTTTTTTTTCAGCTTATGATAAAATAATCTTAAAAATTAATCCAACTCCATGAGGGTCAAAAGCCCACAGGTAGTTTCTTCTGCCCTGAATAAAAGGAATAATTGGGGGAGCAATACTTTATGAGACTAAAAGGAGTATGTCACAGACTGCGGAACCATTCCTTATGGACTTTCTTCTGAGAAAAGAAGAAAAAAAATGTGTGGCAGAATTAGACTGGGAAAGATAGGACTTGTTCCTTCTAGCTAAGAAAGGAAGGGAGAACTTGGGTTGATATTGAGATAGAATGAAACATACACCTATATTTGTCATCTTGATTATAATTGTGATATGAATGAATGTATGAGGAAGATTAAATTATGTGCTCAAATTGGAAAAGAAATGTTATATTCATTGGGAATATTTGAACCCATAATACTGTATTGCGTTTTCACAAGGAAAAGTGCCTAGTTATTATAAAATATGAAAAATAATGTGTGTGAGGTCAGCCAGAACTATTTAATGTTATGTTAGGATAGTTTCTTGGATTTACTTTCAAAGTGCATAGAAGTAGGATAATATTCCTGAGGCTTGTTAAAAATCCATAGTGTGAGGGAAGGTCAGAGAGACACTGGGAAGTGGGGGCAAGACATGTTCATGCAGTGTGAATTTAAAGGCATTGGGAAACTCCTGATTCCGCTGACATGCTTTTGATACTTACCCACTTGTCATTACGATGCCTCCAATGGAAGTTTCTAACCATTTACGGCTCCAGTAACATCCTGTCACTCTTTGTGTCTCTCCCCTTTCTCTGCGGAGAAGTCAAGTGTTTTGGAATTATTTTGAGCAGGTGTTATAAGCCTGCCAACCGGTGTCCTAAGTGCTTTTACATCATTTAGCATCAGTTCTCCCCTGACTTTAAAGTATATACGAATGACCTGGGCATCTTGTTAAAGGGTTCTGATTTGGTTGTGGGGTAGGCCCCGTCATTCTGCAACCCTAACAAGCTTCTAGCAAATGTAGGTGATGCTGGTCTGTGGACTATGCTTAGAGTTGCCAGGATTTAGAAAACAATCGAGTTAGTGTTATTTCTAAAAGACAACTAATAAATTTCATAGCATTTTTAATCATTGATTTTTAAAATGAAAAATCTCTGGTAGCATGTTTGAATACTTAGAGTTGTTAAATAATACAAAGTGATACATTAATCCAGTGTATAGCAATAATAAAAGGGGTCATAATTTATTTAATAAAAACTTAGGGAATCCAGGGTGACAAAAAGGAAAAGCACATTCTCAGAACCACAACTTAATGGCTCATTAAGGGCATATGCTTTGTACAGACTCTACTATTTTTTTAAAGATTTTACTTATTTATCATTAGAGAGGAAGGGAAGGAGAGAGGGGGAGAAATATCAATGTATGGTTGCCTCTTGTACATCCCCTGGTGGGCACTGGCCTGCAACCCAGGCATGTGCCCTGACTGGGAATCAAACCAATTCTCTGGTTCACAGGCCCATGCTCAATCCACTGAGCTACACCAGCCAGGGCTGTACAAGCCCTACTATTAACAGAAACTGGTTCAGTGATTTACCACCTGTTGTAAAATTACCAGAAGTAACTGTCATATTGGAATATGAAAGAGGAAAGCTATACTTTGAAAAAGTAATCAAAGAAGCAAATCATGGTTTTGTTCTGAAATAAAAATCTCATAATGAAGAGATACATTTAGCATAAATTGCTGATATTAATTTATAACCAAATCCAGTGTATCAGACATGACACAACAATTTTGGTTTATTTGAATAACCCGTTTTTGCTTAAATAAAAAAATGGTGATAATTTTTTTCTTAATTTTTATAAGTAACTACAATCTTAATGACTAAAGTATCATAAGCTGATTTATATTTATGTTATACTGTTTCCTCCCTACAGTTAATTTTTGCATTTCATTTTATTATTGTTTACACACACATTCTATTTAGTTAAACTTGCTAGAGATTATGCTGTTTACCTTTTGTCAGATTTAAAGTTATGTTGATTGCAGTATTTTTAATATAATATGCTATTTATATTGAGGTCATACTAATAATTCATTAAAACTAAATGAAAGCTTGATGCATTTTCAGCTTTAAATCTGTACTCTACTGTTTATTTTTAAAATAAAGCACTCTGAAAATTAGAGATATTGTTGTATTTTATTATCAGTGGTAATTGATCCTATTTGTCTGGTTAACTGATTTAGTAATAGATAAATCTTCACTAAATGTTTTGAAAATGCCATTTGTGTTCTATTATTGATAATAATCTCTATTAGAAGCCAAACATAACCATTAACAGTATAGCTTAGTTGTTTAGCTTCTAATTAAAAAAATGACATGGTGTTTTAAGCCACTATATTAAGTTAACTTAAAACTTCATATATGTCCCGGTAGGGTAGCTCAGTTTATTAGAACATCATCCCAATACACCAGTGTTGCAGGTTCAATCTCCAGTCAGGGCACATGCAAGAGTCAACTAATGAATGCATCAATAAATAAAACAACAAATCTCTCTCTCCTCCCTCCCTGTCTCTAAAATCAATTAAAAATTAAAATCTATATAGGTTTTTTGTTGTTAAGTGAGATGGACTGGAATGATGATTTTATTTAGTTTGCATTTTATATTGACCAAGTTACTTTTGTGCTGAGGTTTCCACATTTTAAAAATGGAGGTAGGATTAACTGAACTAACTCATTTAAAGCACTTAGTTCAGTGACTCAGTAAATGTTGCTAGTATGATGAAAAGTTATCAAAAAAATTTTAAGCTTAGAAACTATGAGTGATTTTTATCCCTTAAGTGCTTTTATTGTCTTATATTTTTAGGTAGTAATTTTTCACATGGAATTTCAAGAGTACTACCTCTAAAGACATGCAGTCGACCGATCAGAGTTGGTTTGTCAAGAAAAGCTAAGCTTAAACAACTTCATCCCTACCTAACGTAAATATGTTATGAGGACTTAAAGAAGATACTGGACTTTAATATTTCAAAACATGTCATGAGAACTATTAATCTTTTGTTTATATCTTTGGATAAATGGTTTTTTTCCATGTTGGGGATTTGGGGCTTTCTTTATTACAAGTATGGAGAAAATTTTATGTGTGTATGTGTATGTGTGTGTGTGAATTATCTAATTACCTTTAAAATTATATAATATTTTATCGATGTTTTCATGTCATTAACAATATACACATCAAAAGTTTTTGTGATCTTATAAAATGTATCAACTTATTTTTATACCATGTGCATAATAGACAATGCTTTTGTGGACTAGATCTGTGTAGCCTTTATAGTTTTCTCAAAAAGACGCGCGACTCTTAAAAAGGCAAAAATCTTATCTGCTTCTATTGAAAAAGCCAGCATTCCTCCACTTCATAGGTGTTCTGCATTTGAGGCATAATGAAATCTTTGCTGTTCCCCAGGTGGAATGTTTTGGTTCCTTATGAACAGGGTGGGGAAGACGGTGTGAAAAAGCTAACACTGAAATTTTGAAACAACAGCAGAGTGAGTGAATTTTACTTTTTGTTCACTGTTGGTAGTTAAAAATGAAAATCCTCCCTATGTAATTATTGTGAACACTTTGTGGTCACCGTAACATTTTAGGGGGTTGGGACAGGGAGAAAAAGTAACAATAGTCCAGATGTTCTTGGCATTCATTCAGAGCAGTGTGAAGAATGTAATGCTCTTTTGCAAGACATGTTTTATGATTTAAAAAATAAATTTAGTGAACCTATTTTTAGTGGTCATTTTTCACACTGCTGAATTTCCCCACCTAGCTCTAAACTAAACAATGAGCTTGAATTTCAGCTCCTCTGCTGGAATAAATAAATGCCTCTGTTTCTTGACTTAGGCAAAAATATCTTGGCAAATTCAGTTCTAGTGCTTTGATGCTTTGAAAGTCCATTGCTTGGGAAAAATTTCCATCATAGAAATCCATGCTTATAATAAGCTGGGGATTCTGTTTGTTTGTTTTTGTAAATTCTTGCCCCTTCTTTGCAACAATTTTATATGTTAGTAATTGTGAAGAACCAAGTGGGGAAGCAGTGCTGAAAATTAAGGAATAGTTATGGTATAAGTTATACTGGAAGCCTGATGATAGCAAGCTTTATTGATCAGAATAATACTTTACTATGGAAGTTACTGATGCTAAAAAAGTTCTGATTATTTATTATTAGGAGATTTCTCACTTACAGACTTAAACTGTTAGCCTGCCTAGTGTTGATGAGTTAAAATTTGTAATATATATTATATATATAGTTTTTCACCGTATTAAATTGGAAAAAGATATATAATTTCTTTGTTGTATGTTGAATTATATAGGAAATGTTTGTGAAAAAAATTTTAAAGATTAAGAGAGTTTCTGTGGATGATGTTTTGAGAAATATTTTGACATTTGTTTTCATAGTTGAAAGTTTATTTCCAAATAAAACTTTCATAACGCTAGAAAAAAGGTAACAAATCACTGTTCTAATCCATTTCCCTTATTTTTCAAGTGAAAAAAATAGAGATACAAAGAGGATGGATACATTTTTCAAAATCACAAAGTATTAGGTGTGGATAGAAGCAATCTCTTCTGTTGTATTCTTTCCCACTGTTCTCCGCATTCATTTTCTAGTTTCTATTTCACCCTCCAGAGTCCATCTTTGGTTCCAGAGCAGAATTGTGATTGTTTAGTTAATACTTACTGTTAACTTGTTCACTCATAAAACAAATATATTTTAATAATCCTACTGCTGTGTTAGCCTTAATGATAGAATAGAGAAGACCTTGCTTATGGAGCTTACTTTTTATGCTTGAGATTAGAAGAGAAATATAGAATATATGCATTTTAGAGCAACCATCAGCAGAATAATACTTTTCAAAACAGTAGACAAAGAACTAAAATGGGCTACTTATCAAAAACTAAGAAGGAAGCCTCAAGAAAATATAAAAACAGAAAGCATATAATGGTAGAAGAAAGGCTAAATGTATCAATTAATAAAATATATGTGATTTGGTTAAATTATCTTATTACAAGCCAAGGTTTTCAGACACATTAAAAACCATCTCAAATTCAGCTCTGTTTATTAATTTCCATTCCTAACCATGCATTTTCTAACTTCAATATTTGGCTTTAATTCCTTTTTCCCCACATAGAACCTATCAGCTTTTCTCCCAATAAATATGTGCTACTTTTCAACTTCACTGATGTTTAAGAGTCTATGCTGGATGTTATTCTTTCTAACTGAATATTGAGTTCTTCAAATATTTCCCTCTGACTTGAGTACTGTAAAAATTATGGACCAACATCTCTTTCTTTTGACATATGGAGACATATTTAGCAGATTAGGTTGCAGTTTTGTGGTGGAAAAGAAATCAAACAGATGAAAATGAATACATCATTATGGCTTCGTTACATCATACCTCCATTTCTCAAAAGGGTATGAAAAACCTGAAAGCAGCAACAGCATCTTGTAACAGAAAGAGAATGGGTTTTTGGAGATAGAGAGATCTCACCTCAGTGATCCTTTAGTGATACCCTCTTAGATTCTTTTGTTTCTTTATCTGCAAATTGTAGATAGTAAGACCTAACTTGCAGAGTTTTTATTAAACTTATAAGGTTTGTAAGCTCTCCAAAGGCAATGCCAATTAATATTTAATTAACCACTATTATGAAGCAATTGCTCAAGTGTTTATTATTATTCATTAATATAAGAAATGATAGAATTAATGTACTAATTCATTCAAAAGTATTTATTAAGTACTTACTATGTATAAGGCACTTTGCTGGGCACTTGGAATGTATCAATGAACAAAATAGAATTTACTGCTCCTGTGAACCCTCTGTGCCCCAATAGGGGCAGAGAGACAATAAATAATAAACACAACAATTAATAAATTATATAGCATATTAGAGGATGTTAAGGAAAAGAAGAAAGAAGTAAGGGAGAGGGGAGATGTGTCAGGGGAGGGGGTTACAATATTAAATAGAGTGGTCTGGATACTGCTCATTGAAAAAGTAAGGTTAAACCAAAGATTTGAAGGAGGTGAGAAAGATCTGATTTATGATTTAAAGGTCACTTTAATTGTTGGAAAATAGAAGTCAGAGAGGAAAGAATACAATAAAGACCTGTCAGGAGGTGAAGGAGAAGAGAAGCTTGGTTAAGACAATAGTAAAGTTGGTGAGAAATGACTTTATTCTGAATATATTTTGAAGGTAGAAACTGAAGGATTTTCTGACATTGAATGTGTGTGGGGTGAGGAAAAAAAGGAGATTGGGACCTATGGTATGTGTGCCTTGCAATATCAAGGTCCCATTTGAGGTTCATGGTCTTGAATTTTAGAGTGAAAGCAGTTATGTGTGGAATTGCATTTTTCTCCAGTCATGTTCAGCTTCATGGGTTCAGATTTAGAATAGGTAGAGAATGAATATGGCCAGGGATATAAATTTCACCAAGTAAATTTAAAACATTGAGAGAAGGGCAAGGAAGTCAAGAATACAAGCAAAGAGTAATTATCAAGATTAACTACGTAATTTAAGATGGGCAAGAAGAGTAGGGACATAAATAAGGGTAAGGGAGAGTGGAAGCTTGGTAGGATTAATGGCTTGGGAGTCCCAGTGGGATCAAAGGATTATTGGATTTTGGAGACTAGAAAGTGAGCTGACAAGATAGGAGATTGTGGCAGACAGTGAGATTGAAATCATGGAGAGGTTGCTGTGTCTATGGACTGACAATGGGAAAGAGTCACTGAGGTAGTGTGGGAAGATTATAATTATTGACAAGAAATTTAATTGACTAAGAGGTTAAAGTTCTGGAAGAATTATTTACATATACAGTGTCTGGCACAAACAACACTCCTTTTTATTACAACATATTTTATTATAAAATCATAAGCATATAATTCTGTAACAGAACAATATCACATTCAAGCACTCCATATGACATTTTAGGTGAAATGTCCAAATTAAAAGTATAAATTGTTACTCCCATATTATTACCCTACCAACCACACTCAAGCAGGTGTTACTTCTGCTAGATGCTATATATTGAAATCACTAAAAATTAACAAGAAGTATCATTAGAGAGTGACAGTAAGCCAGGCTAAAATGTTGAGAAGTGGAGGGGATGGCCTACAGAGGGCAGCAACAATAAAGGGGTAGAGGGTGAATTTGGTAATCTCAGACTTAAAGCTCTAGATTTTAGGAAGGAGGTAGGGAGAATGGATGAAAGCTGCAATGAGAAACACAAAGGACATCAACCCCACTGCAGACTTAGTAGTAGAAATACTGTGGGAGAAAAACCAACCTTTTGAGAAAGTTGCAGGGAGGCAGTGTTCTTAGAGGAGAGCCCACTTTCCCTTAGTTCAGTAAGGCAAAGATTGAGATTTGAGCAGGAGCCTGACACATTTGACAAGAGATTCATGGGTAGGAACAAGAAGACTGATGCCAGCAGGTCATTGATTGGGGCTGCTGGAAACCATGAGATAACTGAGCATGCAGGTGGGGGAGAGTGGACCTGGGAGAAAGCTTTGAGGCCAACTCACCCAGGTCTGGGGCTCTCAACAGCTTCACAGACTCTGTCCCAGTCTGTGCCTTCCATCTTGGGGCTGCTTCCATTCTGTCTTGTACTTTAAGCTACCCAGTAAATATATAAATTAAATATTCTCTCACTAAAAATTGCATGCTCAGAATAGTGACATTCTCAGGAAGATCTGTACCCCACTCAGTTTTTCTTGAGTGAAACTTGTGTCACAAAATACCATAACTACTCTTGCCCTTAGCTTTTGCAGAAGTCTTTAACATGATCTTAAATGTGTGTGTGTGTGTGTGTGTGTGTGTGTGTGTGTGTGTTCTCATCTTTATTTTTCACTCAGGCTTTAATTTTGAAACTCAATTTATGAAACTCAGCTCTTCCAGTAAGTTGTCCTTCAAGCCTGGAGGGTGAGCAGGAGCATTGCCCATAA